AATCACAAACAAACAGCGTTTTGTACTACTTCGTGAATCAACCTTAGCTGATGTCGTCAAACGGGCTGCACATAAACGGCTGTTCACAAGAATCCAATCAACCAACGATGACTCAGCCTTGGAGCTGAGAATGATACCTACAACAGCTTGACCCGTGAGTGCTGCATCAGCGTCTCCGGATGCGTGCAACCAATAACGAGAGGATAAGCCGGGTGCAGTTAATTCAATAACCCCGTTAGGGTCATTAATCCTAGTTTCGGACACAACACACATCAATAACCAGTGTGTTCAAGGTGCGTGCGAGTGCAGCTTGGTGACCTGTTTGTCTTAGAGTGCGAACGTCGAATGTCGCCATGGAAACGAGACAGTGTGGCTTTATTAGGGACTTTTGCCGATAGGCATCCGATAGGTGCTGTGGGATGGTGGCTGCAGATGGTTCTACTCCAGTGGCATTTCGGTTGCTGTCAATTAAGCTGGGAATTATAGAAGGAAGGTTAGTAATGGGGATCGGGATGGGAGTAAGAGAAAAAGGTGGAAAAGGAAGAAGGGAGGCGCCAGCAGTAGTATGTTTGCGCTTATCCACCCTGCTGTATGCAGCAGATAAGGCGACCCTTGATAATCTGCACGACGGCCGATGCAGGATGAAGTTTATGTTTGAAGAAAGTGTCATGGTTGTATGTGGGCTGAGATACTGCCAGGGCGCCCAGACCTAGACAGGAGGACGATTAGGGTTCTCATCCAAAGCCTTTGGCTCAAAAGCCTGTCCGCAAAGCAGCGGGGAGGTAGCAATGATTTAGTTTTACAGAAATGGACGCCATCCCATTTCAAACCCCCAACCTGGAGGACCAGGAGACTGAGTTTGTCTGGCCTCTCACCATTGACCAACCTGGTAGGAGTAGCTCTCAAGGTACCCGGAGGCATCACCCAGTATAGCTCAATGGGTCAATGAGGTACGCAAACCGTCGCACCACGTTAAGGTCCAGTCTCGTTGCGACGGTGATGATGTCTTGATGGTCAGAGCTAAGTAATTTTACTGCAAGTGCCCCTCGATCGTGGCGTACGCCCTCCATACAGAGTTGACAAGCAATGAAGCGTAAGGCACGGTTCAAGTTGGTTAAACAACCAGGAATTAAGCACCGAAATGCGATGGATTTAAGTGATATGACCCGGATTGCCAGGACAATTAGTATTAACTGTTAGGAGAGGTCGGAGAGAACGCAGGTAAAACTAATAGGGGTGGAGTATGAACAGCCTGATTCAGAAGCACTATAGTATCTGCGATAAAAGTTGCGCATTCTTAACCGTTGGTGCAATTTATTCCGAAGGCCGACCGCACAAACCTTGTAAAATCTCTCAGCCACATTTTGGCTGAGTTATTGACCGATTAACACGAGTTGTGCCATCGTAATGCAACCACAGCAAGTAACAAACGTCGGACTTTTGCCAATGTCCGCCACCTGTGGTGTTGGCACGATATCAATATCTCCTTGTAGGGGAGAGTTTACAATGCAACCGTTCGTTCAACCCTACTGAATGGTTGCGAAACCTGGTCCATCAGGTCGACAGACATAAAGAGGCTAGTCACGTTCGATCATCGCTGTCTTCGCAACTTAGCTCATGTCTGGTGGGAGCACCGCGTGAGCAATGAGCGTGTTCGGCGTTGTGTATTTGGTGCAGGAAGAGCGATTGAATCGCTCAGCACCATTATATTACGCACAACGCTCCGATAGATGAGCCACGGGTTACGCATGCATGCACACATGCTCCCGTGACATTCGTTATTTGCGCACCGGGAGTGTAGATAGAAGAAGAGGAAGGGTGACCAAACGATGAGTTGGTCAATAGAAATGAAAACCCACACTTCGAAGTTGGAGTCGGTTGGTGCATCCCGACTGCCTGTCTGGGATCCAAAGGATGACGAGCACCTTTGGTTGGATACACTGGTTGAAATGGTGAGGAGCCGACCTCAATGGCATTTGTGTTGGGTGTTTTGTCCCTCCCAACACACTTAGTTTCCACGTACAACCACGATATTGACGCATAATATGTTACTGGGTAGTCTATCGCCCATTTTTAGCATTCTATACTCTTCAGTATCTTGTTTTTTCGTATTTCTTATCTTTATGTATTGCGGCACAATAATTGAAGTGTGTTTCTCACCTTCAGCTCATGTGTAATTATGGTGATGAACAAACGCCGGGGTGCGAAGTCAACGGGTTTACGAAGGACATGGTCTGAATAAGACATCCAGTACGAGTTTAACAGATAACACAATGCAGAACCGGGGGGACTGTGTTAAGACATCAAATGGATATCATCCGTAACATTCAGTTGGTGTTCCTAGCACACATGAGTAATATTCCGACAGTATTTGTGGTCAAGGCCGGCCGGTGATCGCGTGGCCTGCACCACTGGCTTGCAATGATGTCACCGTTTCGTATTTGCGTAGGGGCGGGCGTCCTCGCGGTATACTCAGCCCACGCGCGACTTGTGGTGGTCGTGCGGCAGCGAAGTGTCGTTACGGTGTACAGTTGACGATTTAGTTTCTTTTTTGTGGTCAACAATAGATAGCTCCTAAGCGACTCTACCGCGAGGTTTCTTATCCACCGTAGGATCGGACACCCTGACCTTGATTGGCAGACCGAAATCTCGAAATCTCTGCATATTATTGATACTACGAAGAGTCACATGGGCTTGCCAACAGTTTGTAGGTAGAGGAAAGGCTCCAGGGAGTTTTACATACCGTTCTGTGTTTCACTCAGTGCCACACAGTGAGAATTGGAGCGCCTACGCCAGCTGCACTTCGTATTGATATTGTTGAATTGCGGACTGAATCCAACCTACCAGTGAGAAGACTTGAAGAGTTGGACGCTTCGCCGGCGCCGGCAGATTGAAGGCCTTGTGTGCGTGTACTAGGGCAAAACAGGAATTTAGACACATGACAAATAGGCCGTTACCCTCAAAATGACGTGATCTATAGGCAGCTGATGACATTCGGGGCCAATCGATGAGTTCGGTGAGACCACAAACCGGACGACGTGAAAGACTGTGTCGGTAAGGAATGTTACTAAGATAAAGACTGCGGTCGGCACACAGCTGAATAAATCAATCGCCACTACTCATCCGGCCTGCGTTGATGAGGAAATAATCCCAGTGGCCTTGTGTCAGGAGCCCAAGAAGTGATCTACTTGAGCATACATTTCACCAATATGTTATCACGAGGGTCTGGTTCTTTGCTACATAGGTAAGGGTGAGAGTGATCAAGAACAGTAGCCATTAATAGTTTCAGAATCGCGATCGATCGGGGCATATATGGAAGCCGGATCACAAACATGCAACCATTCGCTGAAAGCCGCCGATTCGTTACTACTAAAAATAGTGCAGTTATTAGCAACAAAACGTTGATATCTTGAAGGCGTGTTTCAGAGATAACTCACATCGACTCCAAGAGAATGGAGAGCGAACCGGACCTACCATTTGACCGAGATAGCATAGTAAATGAAGGTTGAAAGATCCAAGATGAGATGAGCCACTCGGTATGAAGAATGGTGTACGTATATCGTTAACATGAGTTGCAACACAAATGGCATTCCGTGCTGGTCAAGATGTGAAGAACAAACTTGAAATGGAGGAAATACCACGAACGGAAGAGCCTTGTGAGTAAATGACATATTTTGGTTGTCCATTTCGAGACAGTGGTCCTGCTCTAGACCCCCTCTCAAGCGCATAAACCAATAGGTGAATTCACAAGATGGAGTAATAAACAGACGAATGCGTGATAGATAGCACCCGGAGTCATCGATTCAGTGGTAGCACGCAGGTAAACGTAGTGTGTGACTGCAATTCCACTGGGATCTGCTCGAAGATCCTCATATAGAACCTTGGAAGACGCAGAAGTGCTTATGCATGATTTGCGACGTTAGAGACCAAGATGAACCGAGGCAGAGATTTTGGAGGTTTGCATTTATTCGATCAAACGCAGCTTTGGGTTGAGGCGGGCGGTGAGAAATCAGTGCGTATGAACGAAGCCCTCCCATTGATTGAGACAATCCGAGGTATTGGTGCTCTGCACCAATCGAGCTGAGCATGTTAACGGCGGTTATTGCCTCCAATGGCTAAGTTTCGAGAGAAGAGGGTGGTGGATGGATCCCAGACCTGTTGCGAGGAGTGCAAACGTGTGACCTCTCAGCATGAAGCGACCCGGTGAGGATGGCCCCAAGGCACTTTCAAAGTGCCACCCAGCGTACTCCATTGTGTTAGGGAGGTACGCAAGCTACCGCAATGGATTGAGGTACAAACCTACTAGCGATGGCAAGGCCACAAAAGTCTAAAGGAGTAAGAGTGTTGGTGAATCATTCCGCTCATTCGAAGTGGCCAAGACTGGAAGTGATGCAAGAAGAACTGGATGAGCAATATACAATGTTCGCGGGAGCATCATATATTGTAAGCTATATGCAAAGTTTACGATAATGTGTCACGTTTTAGCAAAACACGTCGCGGATATAGAAAATAAAAGCATGGTATGAGGCAGCTGACTAGGAGGATAGCAAGAAGCAGTCGTTTGATGTGCCTGAAGCTCAGACTCCACATTTATGCGCCTAGTCCAAGAAATACATGGAGTGATTCAGAAGTGAGACTGTTTAAGAAGATACCTAACGAGTGTGCATTCCAGAAGACGCATCAGCGGGTAAATGGAGTTGGGGCACCTGGCCGTGATGTCACTGGCATCAATGAGCACGCGCGAGCAACGAGTATGCCGTGATATTCGACACTAAAAGTACGTGGCAGATGGTCGATGAGGAATTAGTGGCATGTAGCAACATTGTAGGAAAATAACACCCAGAGTTGAAATCCAATTACAGTGCACTCCACTTCAGGGAAATGATAGAAGACAGAGGAAACCTCAGGTAGAATTAGGAAAGATGCTGCCGAAATGAAATCTCATTATCAAAAATTGGTGAATGGACAGGTCAGGCAAGTAAAAACATTGGCAATTTTTATCAATCGGATTTCGGCTCACCTGTTTTCGGGGTTACTAATCCAACACAAATAATGGTGTCTTTGATACCATCGTAGTAAGCAAGATCTTCGCTACGGGGATAAAATGCGGAAACGGAACAAACCCATCCTCAAAATTCCACATGAATAGCTCATTGTCAATGGTGACGTAAGCGCGTTCGCACGGAGTGAAAATGCCCATCAGGCAATTTCTCTGTATGCCTAGTGTGTGGAGGTATAAAGACGAACAATGGGGTTTACCGGAGAATCGTTCCACCAAATCCGGAGGCAAAGAGAAACAATGAGAAATTTCAAGTTCTCCTCCAACGTGGAATTGCAATGGCGGATAGTCAATCTCACGCATACCGCTGAGACTGATTTTACCGGATGCTAAATCTCGGTATCAACTAATTCATGTAAGCATACCAGAGCTCTCAAATCCGAGACGTGAAGCCAAGTCTCTGAATCCGCCGTCCCGATTAATCAATTTATCCAGCCATTCCTCAGGCCGTTCGCACAAAGAAAGCTCATCATTAGACCTGGGGTCCATCATCATAGCGTGCACAGACTCTACAGCAAGAGACTATAAAAAAGCTGCAAGAGAGAGAAGAAGAAATGCCAATGCATAAACGCGTAACACAATAAAATGGAGGAGAAACTGCCTCATTTACTCCTAGTAAAGCAGAAAAAAGCGATGAGACCAATGGTGTTGAATAGAGGCGAATAAACTAAAAATGGTGAAGAGAAGGAAAAATCGTTAAGGCAATGATATGGCAACTAAAGGTGAAACAATTATGTGGGTAAAGTAACCGGCAGATAAGTAATCAGATAGCACCTATCGATCTAAGATTGCCGGCTAAGTTAAAACCTATGACTGGATTCCGACTATGATCTACTGCACGCCCACAAGATAATCACCTTTCTGGCTTCAAAGTGCCCAATATTTAGGATTCTAACTTTTGACCTGGATTTACGAGCTGCAACTTGGTATTACCAAGACGAATTGACCTGCCAGTTGTCAATGACAAATGAGGTGGCGGGCCAAACGCGGACTAGAGTTGACTCAAATGTGTCATGAAGAATGCCACTGAAGCCTGCTGTAAGCCTAACCTGAGATATCCTAAGCCCGAATGGATTTATGAGGCACAAATTAGTTTGATCGAAACACAGAAACAGATCCCATCGGGTTCTCAATTTCATAGTGTATGTGATACTTAGAAACGTAGCCTTAAGGATCACAGGCCTGTCTTGTAATCCGAGGACGCGAATTTGAGCTTGCGTAGGGATCGGGTGACTCTCGCAGTATCCTTAGACCACGTACGACTGCTGGTGGGCGCGACAACAAAGCGCCGGTACTGCGTATAGACGTATTGCTGATGCCTGTCTCCGAAACGAAGGCTAGGACTTTTAGAATTGGTTGGCAGCGTTGGTGTGCGTCAATGGCCTTCGAAGTGGAAGTCAGTACTATTGAGAACAGCCGAGTAGTACCAAAACTCATTCCGAGCAGGTGTTCAAGAATATATATAATCAGTCTATAAGAAGACATCAAGCCATTCAAAACAACAAGGAACAAAAGTACAAATGTAAAAAGGTGGACAAATTCCTTGCGTTTTTTCACATGCCATTTGGTTCTTCGTGTCCAAAAAACCTTGTTAGTTAGACAACAGCGGAGAAAGATGAACCGCTGAGCAACTTTCCGCCGCGATGACTGACCCATTGGACCAAACATTATGAAGAGTAGTTCAGTGGGCGTGCTGCGACACTGCCAGTTGCTGAATCGTCTGTGATCATGGGAAGTGAAAATCACATTTATCACATGAACCAGACAAAGCTCCTGGACCAGATGACCTCAATCATCTTTGCTGTTGGCTAGACGTGTCACATCTTTAACACTAGTAAGGACACTGGAGAATCCCTTAAAAATGATTGCTGTCCCCCGTTATCCCCATCTTTAAAGGAGTGGTTGGAAATCACCGAGGTATTGACCACATTTCCAGAACCTCCGAACTTTCACGGGTTGCATTCTGCGAGATCCGCATCTTTAAGAGCCAGGCTGGCTTCTGCTATGGTCATAGCTGCAATGAACCCATATTTATTCCCCATCATGTAGTGGAGCAGAGACCGGAATGCGATTGCCTGCAGTGGTTTTGTTTGGCCTGAAATCAGCTTTCGAAACCACAGGCAGTGACACTGACTATTCGTGGAACACTGCTATTCTGAAATCTCGCTACCACGAGTTCCGAAACCAGGTGATGGTCTATGGGAAGCTGTCTCCTGAATTCCTCACGGCAAATGAAGTACGCCAATGTTGTTCTATATCTCCATTTTGCTTCAACATTGAATAAAATGATCATGTCCCCGTTATACTAGAATCTTCCGGAGTGGAAGTGATGCCAGGGTGCCGACTGGTAAACCTTGAGTATGCGGACGAAATACATCTTGAATTAGATATAATGGTTATGCAAACACCAATTAGTACACTGACGTGTCACGCTGCATATTTCAATATGCGCCTGGCATTTTAAAGTGTAATGCAGTGTTGCAGGAATGGGACGACTGGCCATCGGTTCTTGTTATCATCAAACGGCCAATGGGAAGCGGTGGATCAGTTCACTTGCCTTGGCAGCTTTGTTACATCAATGAGGTTATTTAGCGTACTAACGAAGGCTGTGTGGAGGCATGATTATCTATGAAAATGCTGGAATATGAGCCTGTCAGCAAAAGGTGTGGTGTATAACAATGCGATAAAGCCAGTGTAACAATATGGATTAGAGATTTGATCAATTCGCAATGAAGAGATTAAACGATCGGTCACCTTTGATGATCGGTGCTTGAAGAGGATTAATCACATCTGATGAGAAGGTCAGGTGAGCAATGCCCAGGTTCATCAGTTGGTGTTTGGTAAGAAAGCTTCTGGTGACTCATTAGTGTCTCAACCGCCTATGCTTGCTAGATTAATGTCCATTGTATGTCCGCTGATCGTCTCCTCTTAAGTATGAACAATACACGTCAAATAAATGTGGAAACATCTCAACTGTCGTGTTACAATACCAACAAACAACATGAAAAAGGTGACATGGTAAACGTTTTAGAAAACAAAAAAACAAGTAATATAATGCTTAGTATCATAGCATGCACCGAATGTGAGACCTTGGTTGGACAGGGAAACAGCGAGGGGAGGGACAAAGAAACTCAAAACACAAACGCCATTCAGGTCGGTTCATCGTCATGGCAGCTAGTGTATCCAACCAAATGTATAGATCGTTCTTGAGACCACAACCCGACAGTCAGGAGAAACCGACCGACGCCGAGTTGAGAGTGAGGGCCTCCAATGCTCTAGACCAAACCATCAACTAACCTTCCCTCCTCTTTTTCCATCCAGACCGCGGCCGTACAAAAAACAGAAGGATGCGGGAGTCGGTGTGCTGGTATGCGCAACACATGCCCCAGTCATCGGAGCATGGTGCGTGATATAATGGTACTGAGAGGTTCACTCGCTCTTCCTGCACCAAATACACGACGCTAAGCACGCCTATTGCCCAGTGTTCCCACTAGATGTGAGCTATAGTGCGAAGACAACGATGACCGAATGCAACAAACCTACTTAGTGCAGTCTATCTGACAGGCCAGGTTTCATAACCGTACAAGGTGGCTGAATGCATAACTGCGTTGCAAACGGCTCTTACGCGTAAAAATGATGTCACGCCGGCATCACAAGTGGTGAAACTTAGAAAAGCGCCTCGAGAGTTGACTACACAGTTCCTGATCTCATCCTCCATCTCACAGGCGTTGATATGGATGCCCAAGCAGTTAAAGCTCTGAGCTACTTCTATCTTATCCCCACCAAGGGTCAGCGCAGTGGTCATCATTATCATTAATATATGTTAGCTGAGGGTGAGAAACACACCTCAGCTCATGTGATATCGAGATACAACAAGACATAAGTGGTACACAGGTACGCAGTACCGAAGTTTCGTTGCCGCGCAACCAGCATCAGTCACGCGTAGGCTAAGGATACTGCGACAGTACCCAGGTCCCCTATGCAGACTCGCCACCTCTGATTACAAGAGAGGATTGTGATCATAAGAGGCCACAGGCCAGCTTGCAATCAAAAATGGGTAGCTGACATTACGAACTACAATTCACTTCAGTTGAACAACCATGGTCCGAGAACCGTAGTGAGGTTGATCCAGTTGTCACGACTCACATCGCAAGAATAACAATAAATAACAACGGCGAGATAGTGGGGTTGAATGTAAGTAAAAATTAAAGAGAATGCAAGCAAGAAAGAGATGTGTTAGAGAAACAAGAATGGAACGAAAATTAATGGCCAGATGCAAGAAACCGAAGGTGGAAAGGCCAGTGACTACGCGAATGCACCATGTCTAATACGGTCTCCAACCATTGATGTGGATAATTATTATCATTACACGTTAGCTGGAGGTGGAAAACACCTCAGCTATTGTGCCGCAATACAAAAGGCAAGAATGGAAAAAAACAAACAGTGCCACGCCCGCTGAGTCCCCAGTAACGGATGGACATCGTTCCGGAGAGCTAACAGCCGGCTGCCGTAAAAAAAGTCATATTATGCCTAACGTTTGAGATCGTGATTGGAGGGGGATGCTAAACAGGAGGGGGATGGACAAAGGAACTCACAACACAAACGCCATTGGGGCCGGCTCCTAGCCATATCAGCAAGTGTGTCCAGCCAAACGTGTTCACCGTCCTTAGGACCCCAGCCAGGCAGTCGGGATGCACCAACCGACGCCAACTTCGAAGTGAGGGTTTTCATTTCTCGCGACCAAGTCATCACTTGGCCTCCCCTCCTCCTCTTCCAACCGCACTCACAACGCGCAAACAATGCACGTCCCTTGGATAATTGCGAGGCCCCCATGCCCGAAGACGGCACGCGCCAATCTGAGAGAGCTTCGATTTATTTCGTTATGCTTCTATGCCACGTCACGGACTGGCCACCTCGCGGTTTCGCCAAACGTCGACATCAGCAACAGGAGTACATCAGCCATTTGAAGTGATGCTTCACTGCTGTACAACCCCCTATGGAATGAGGAATAATAACAGGGATAGAAGAGTGACTTATCGGGAAACCTAAAGGTCCCAAACAAAAACTACGCCGAAAGACGATATTGCAGAGATGAAGGCGCAGATTGCGGCACTCACCAAGAAGTTTACCGATTTCACAACTTCTGGGAGCAGTTGCCGATGTCGATCTTCAAATCGTCAGCGTTCAGCTCGATCAAAATCACCGAGCCGAATGTATTCCTACTACTGGTACCATCAGCGATTTGGCCCGCAGGCCAAGTCGTGCCGCCCACCGTGTTCCTTCAAAAGCAACTCGCAGGGGAAACGTGCCGACCAGCACGCTGGGGCGAAGAACGTAACTGGTCAACACAGTCGCCTATTCTTTGTCACCGATCGACAAACGAGAGTTCGCTATCTCGTCGATATTGGTGCAGAAGTCAGCGTCCTTCCACGTGATCCCAACGACGCAACCGGAAAGGTGACTGGTTCTTTATGCACAGCAAACGGCACCAG